GCTGTGCCGTGGGGGTCCCAGCCCGGCACTAGGGGGCGCGCTGTGCCGTGGGGGGTCCCAGCCCGGCACTAGGGGGCGCTGTGCCAGGGGTCCCAGCCCGGCACTAGGGTCGCTCACCACAAGCAGCAGCTTCTCCACGCATTCAGGCACCACGTTGTGGATGTGACTGAGGTGGACGCGCAGGCTGCCTCTGCCCACTAGCTGTTCCTCCTGGCACAGCGGGCAGCGGTAGGTCGGCTGCAGGGCATGCTGGGACACGGCGTGGCTGCGCACCCCCGCCGGCGCCCGGCTCACGTAGCTGCAGTACGGGCAGCAGAACACCTGGGTGGGGGGCAGCGGAGAGAGGGGTTGTCACATCATATGGGAGGGGCCCAGGCGTTTGGGACAGGGGAAAAGAGACCCAGGCATCCGGGACCAGAGAGTGGATCCAGGCATCTGGGATGGGGGAAAGGGATCCAGGAATCCGGGACAGCTGTCCTGCAGCTCCCGGTCCCAGGGGGTGGGCCAGGGAGAGACAGGGATGGGCAAAAGCGGACCCAGGAGTCCGGGACGGGGGAAAGAGACTCGGGCATCTAGGACAGCAGCCCTGCAGCTATCAGGCCTTGGGGCGTGGTGGAGGGACCAGGATTGGACCCAGGTGTCCGGGACGGGGAGTTGCCCCCTCCCACTTGGGGTGCTCACCGTGGTCTGGGTTTCCCCGGCTGCTCGGCTCTTCGTCTCGGTCTCGTCCAGTCCTGCAGTGTGTGTGGGGGGGTGTTAGCGACTTGCTCTGCTTCCCCTCCCCTCCCGCCCAACCTGCCCCCCCTTCTGCCCTAGGCCCTGCCCCTCCCCCCCAGCACCCGCCAAGCCAAGCTCCCTCCGGGTAGGGCCCGGGCTGGGGGGGGGGGGGGGGGCCCCGGGGGGGGTCAGGGCCCCCCCCCCCCCCGGCCTAGGCCGCCCAGCTCCAGGAGAGTCAAGCAGGGAGGGCAAAGCTGGAATCTCACATGGGGGTGCAGGAACCCAGGCGTCCTGCGAGGGGGAGGGGCCACTCACCTGGGGGCGGGGCTTTGTTCAGAGTCTCTTTCTCGGGGGTCCTGGGCTCAGAGGCTGATTCCTTCCCTGGTGGGGGGGCAGACGGGATGGGTTAGGGGAGTGGGAGCAGTGGGGTGGGGCCGGGGGCGGGGGCATGATGTGATTGATGAAACGCTCCCCCCCCTCGCTTCGTTCCCCCCATCCCTGCATCAGCTGTGTTAGACTGGCCCCAGAACCAGATGGTGCAACTCACTCCCGACCAGCCCAGCTCTACCGGTGCCCCTCACTCCCGACCCGCAGCCCCTGCTAGCCCAGCCCTGGGCTCCCCCCCAGCCCTGCTAGTGCCCCTCACTCCCGACCCGCAACCCCTGC